AATTTATTTTTATAAATCCTACATTTTGACAGAATTGTAACAATTATGACGTCATTGGATTTTGAATAATGACGTCATCATTTTTTTTAAAGGCAACCAACAATTTTCTTGACTGTTTTTGGTAATAGGTACATACATTCTTCTATCTTAAAAAAAAATTCCAAAAATAGTAAACAAAAATGTTGGTCGCCATTTAAAAAATGCTGATAACGTCGTTACTTAAACATCGTTGACGTTATAAATAATAGTAATAGGTGTTTTTTTAATTTGGTGTTAAAGCGTATTAAAAATTATGGTCCGTTCACAACACACTCACTTCACCGCCAACTATGACGCCAAATTTAAATAAACAACTGTTGTAATGAAAATGTATCATTTACAAAAATAAAATCGAACTTTATTTGAGGATGTTTTTTCAAAATTCAAAAATCATGAATTTTGTGCACTACCTTTGGTGCAGTTTGTATAATGTTTTAATTTATTTAATAGTTATGCATTACTTTGTATTGATGTTGCAACAGTTAGAAAAAAGCAAAATTTTCCAGTTTTGCAAGGATGATCAAGCCTGTGATGATTAGTATAAAGGAACAAACCACTTCGAAATTAAAAAATTTATAAAAAAAAATGAAATCAACGTTTAGAAATGAATAAACATTATTTTTCAAAATTACTGAATTTTTACGTGTTTGTGAAGCGCATTGCTTGCATGAAGCTCCGAAACCCTTTGTGTTTAAAATTCCAATGCACCGACCGGTTTGCCAATATAATCCGTGTCTAAACCTAGGCTTTGCCTTCGTTTTGCATCCGGACAGGGTAGACACAGGGTGAAAACACATGCTAATGTATGCAGTTACATTGTCGGTGCTGTTAACGGTGACAGGTCAGTATCGTTAGGCAACCGGGCGGGTTAAATCAACTTTAAGTGTTAATTGTCGGTGTAAAACTTGTTCAAACTACACTTAACAACCACATATCTTACCATGTAGCCCATATCGCCTTTCTGACCCTTGTCACCCTGCAATTTCGAACAACCCAAATACAACATGTTTTCAACAGACGCTCGTCGAGGACTTTCAATTATTAACAGGGATGGGGGTGACTATTGGGGTTAAATGCTTCGTGATGGGGCGCTATTTTGCCTCCCAATTGCTGGACATTTCTGTTTATTTTCGTTTGACGTTTATGCGATTTTAAATGGATTGTTTAATCGGTGGGTTTTGGCACAAGAGGAGTGTTTATTTTGTGGAAGTTAATGGACAATTTCCTGCAATATTCGAAAACAGTGGACGAAAATATAACAAGTCAACATGAATTTTGTGCCTGAGATAAGGGTATGGGTATGCAGCAGTTACGACAGGTTTTTCGACACTCATCTGAAAAAAATCTATATTTCATAAAAAAGTTTGCTTTTGTAACAAGGAGAATATTATTCAGTAATTAAAAAAAAATATCATTTTAATCATTTATTAGTTGAAAAACAATTATAAATACAGGGTGATTCAAAAGTGTCGGACTAACTCTCAAAGGACTTTTTTTTTGAGAAAAAACAGCCTACTGTCAATTTCTATATATCTCTTTTGTTTCCGATGTTGTCGGATTTAATTTATTGTTGAATTTGCCAGTTTGTTAAATGTTTTGTAAATCGTAAGACACAAATTGGTGATTTTTTCATCTGTTCAATGTTGCAAGATCTCTATTTCCGCTAAGTAAATTCGAAAATACATTATCTAAACTTAACCCAAAATCTCCCAAATACAGAAAAATTTCAAATAAGATAAGATACCAGGAACATGGGAAAAATGTTAAAAGAAATTCTATCTGTCAAAAATTTTGACATTATTTTTTGACATTCGACAATTTTTTTATGTCTATTTAATGATACTGATGACCTTGTATGTTTTTTAATATTATTTAGTAAAGGTATAAAAAATTTCCAATAAAAACCACAAATAACATTAAACAGAGTTACAATTTAGGATACAGCGTTCTTGTTTCCTCTTCTAATAGCCTGTAGCAAAAATTTTCGAAAATTATTTTTCGAACAGAAATAAATAGAATCAAAGTGCAAAATGTAAACTCTAATAACTTTGATTTTTTTATAAATAAAATTTTTTTAACATTTTTTCCATGTTCCTGGTATCTTACTTTATATGGCATTTTTCTGTGGGGCGAGAGTTCTGGCGCATCCTGTATTTTAATATTCACGTTATCTTTGAAATGTAATGGTAGTTGCTTTAAAAGGCCGATTATTTCTCGTGGAACACCCCGTATTTGGAGTTAAGTTAGAGAAAGTACCAGGAAGAGTAACTAAGTTCACTTCTAACTTTTTTTTAATTATTTCGCATACTACTTTAATAGTTGGATATATAAATAATATTTTCATTATTTTAGCCTTGATAACGATAAATGAAATTCATTATATAAAATTTCCCCATATTGTTTTTAAATTTTTCAGAATGAGCAGGCAATATTTCTTAAGGACTTCCTGAAATTCATAACCTAAGTTTTTTTCATATTTACAACTACATATAACTTTTGGTAATTTTCAACTTTATTATTCCTTCAATAACAAAGAATATGGCCCAAAGTCATGCTTAGTTTTTTTTTTGGTCATTAGTAAGCAATTTTGGAAATTCTTCAATGTCAAAATTTTCTAAATTGTCAACCCATGAAGCTTCCAAAAGCAAACTGGATATTTTTCCATTATTTGCAAGATAAATAAAAAAATCATAAAATAACCCAGGCACAAACAAAATTTTTCATGTAGAGTCGTGTAATTATTGTTTTCAGTGTAGTTGGTGTGATTTGCAGTGCAAATTGTTTAATGTAATTCGGGGAAAATGTAAATATTGCAAATATTTTTGGATGTTTTTCGTAAACACCATTTGTTGTTCGATTATTTTAAACTAAGAGGAATTCGTCAAATCACGGCACAAATAATTCCAATTTATTTTGCAAAACATTTGCTCAGTACCAGCAGTTTCCGCAATGAATACAAACCTCATTTTAGAAACTAAATTACCTACTTTAGAAAAATGTTTGCTATATAGCGAATGTAATGACTCAGAAATAATTAATTGTAAATAATAATAATCTTAAGTTCTATGACAAAAAAGACTACTAGTGAACGTAGTTCATAGGAAAAAAGACTGAAAGAGAGAAAGAGAAAAAAAACTTCAATTTGAATCCGTTTTGTACTTCGAATATTATACTTTTTTAAATCACTTGCCATTATTTTTGTATTTTTTTTAATTACATTTTAAAAATCAGAAAAGTCGAAATGATTATTGTTTTTTTCCTTTTTCATGTCGTTTTGTATCATTTGCCCCACCACTCGGCTCCCTTCTGAAAATCCACCCTGCTGTTAAAATTGAGGTCCTCTAAACGGCGTCTTTGGATGATAGTAAAAATAATCGTGATGGAGATAAATAAACCAATTAATATTAGTACAACGTATCGAGATGACAGCTGGATGATGAAATAAAGAAAATAAAAAACGATGAACAAAGAAAAATATTAAATAAAATATAATACCGGAAAGCCGTTCTTGCCCGGCGCCCCAGCGGAACCCTAAGGGCAAATAAAAAAGAACAAAATCAGAATTGTTAGTGTGGTGTGCGAACGTTAATACGTGCTCGTAATTGTTAAGTGCGACTTACCGGAGGGCCAGCATCTCCTACATCGCCCTTTTTGCCTTTTCTACCGCGCTTCCCGGGCGGTCCAGGGGGGCCGGGGGGGCCAGGCGGACCTGCAAAACAAAAATTACAGATTTTCGATCGAGTTGGGAGTGAATCTAGACGGAATTGGATTAGGAGCGTGTTGCAGATGTGTCTCTGTGCTAGATAAGCACTTCATAACGCGATTGTGAAGATGAGATGATATTATTGTCCTTGTTGGGGTGAATATAAAACGGGAAAATCACCCTGTGGCTTATTTGAAATGGAAATTGTTATTTACAAATGGATGAACGAATACTTTGTGATGTTGGCTTGAAACAACACGACGATAAATTAAATAGTGAAACGCCTCTAAATGCTGTTTGCTTAGGGGAAAGTTTCTTTTACAATTCTGTTTGAAGAAAAACAATTGAACATTTTAAAATGTTGGACGATTTCTTGTTGAGATTATTGATTGAATCGAGAAAATAATTTGACATTAGATTGCTTGTGCCGACGGAAACACCAACAATTCAGGATAAACAAATAGTTTTGTAAATAGTATTTTCCTTCCTTTTATATCTGAAGCTATCATCAAATTCTGTTTCAATTTAATAGGAAAAATATTTGTCTAGTAATACATTACAATTGCTGCATATTTTTATTGAAATGACACTACTTCAATAACTTTTTAAATAACTAGATATGTACTGAAAATCCTCTTGAGAAATATTTTAGAAAATTTAATTCAAATTCTTGACATAAACGTTATTGTAACTATGTGTTAACTTAACAAATTTAAGTTACTAAGTGCGACTTACCGGAGTTACTAAGTTACTAAGATTAGTTTTAGTTAAAAAAAAAATAAAAGCTTAAAACAATTATTTTAAAATACAAAATGAAATAACAAAAAATAAAACTATCTTGGAAAAAGTATGCAAAGATTTTTTTAATTACAATCATTCCAAAAAGCATGTAAAAAATTAAGAAAATTCGTATTTTAGTGTTACTTAAGTTATGGGATATTTTTTCAAAATTGTTTTTCTCAAAAATTTTACTCGAAAACCCAAACAGAATAAACACCAACAAAAACTTCTCAATTAAAATTATGTCATGTAAAAAAGTTATATTTTTTTCCTTTTTTTTATAATACGAGTTACTACTGGTAGCTCAGTTCTTTATTTTCAAATTGTTATACCTAATACATATAATAGTCTGAATTAAATTAACTGTATTTTTTCAAAACTGTGTTTCACAGTACAGAGTGATCCAATAAAATTGGTAAAACTTGTAATGAATTGTTTCTAAATAATTTCGTTTCTGTTTTTTGACGATTCACTTATTTGCTTTCTTATACAGTGCTTCGGCTAAACCTTCTCAATTAATATCTTAGTTGATCTTAGTTAATAAATGGTCATGATTTTGTATAATTTTTATCAGCAAAATTTTCACTTTATTTACGAAATTTTTACATAAATAGTAAGTTATGTTATGTTCGGTAAGTCAAATATTTATACAGTATGAATGATGTTTAAAAACAAAACCACGAAGAAACCAAGTTTTAAATATCGAAAAATCGAAAAAATCTTCTGTAAAAAAAAACTATGTTAAAGTCATATAAAGAGTAAATTTTATTATTCTAGTAAACTTGGAAGTTTTTTTTTGTATTGAAGCAGGTGCATATAGTTATATGCCTGGTTTTAATTGTAATTACTAACTTCCGAGTTGCCAACTTAATTTCAAAGTCGCAGGTCTATTTGATGCTAAATTCATTGAAAGTAAGCAACAATTTTGATCAGAAATTTAACTGAACACATAGTATCCAAAATCTTAATGCTCTGAGTGATTTATACAATTGTACATTTTTTGTTTTTATTTGATTCAAATTAATTTATTACATCAGTTTCCTTATTGCAAAGTGAATTGTTTTTGTGGTTCTTTCAATAGTTTATTTTAATATTTAATATTAACATTTATTTTCTTTTATATCTGTTGGAACATTTTCTAAAGGAATAAGCAATAGCTAAAAATTCAAAAGGTACGGATTAATCAAAATTTATTGTATTTATTTATTGGTTGTATGTTGAATATAAAATTAAAAAACATTGAAAATCCTGTTTGAGATTTAAAATTCCCAATGAACATTCAGTAAATTATTTCGTACGGAATATTGAAACAATATTCCAATGAAACAAACCGAAATGATAATTAGCTTTAAACAATGCACTGTTTCGACTGTTTTAATTTACAACCCGGTAATAAATTTCCAGTGACAAATTTATTGATTATTTCATGTCACTCCCTCTTTTGTGAAAAGAATTTCGAAACGGTGGTGGTGATTTATTGCACACGCCGAATAATTTCATCTGTTTCCCACGGAATTTTCAAGTGTCACACATGGATCTCTTCGACTTCCTTTCCTATGTAGATTCTCCTAAAAACTTTTAATTATCCCGTCAGCAAGTCTGCCATGTTTGTAGTTTTAACCCTTAAGGTAACGCAAAAAGCAATTAAGTTTTTCCACCCGTTCAAATCTCATTAAGTTTCGTCGAAGTTAATTTTCTTGGGAGTTTGTTCGAAACTTGGGAGCCATGAAGTTGTTTAACGTTCATATTCATTGAACGTTCGTGGTTTTAACACTTTTATACTAGGTGGTCTGAAAATAAATAGAGCACACTGGATTTTAACAAATTGCGGTGAATTTAATTCCGTTTAAGTGCTTAAGAGGCCGTTTTTGTAATTTAAGTGTTTTTCATTTACTCAAACTGGTCGGAATGACACTGGTTTTCGAATGGGACTGGTTTTGATGCGACACCTTTAATTAAGGGATTATTCTGACGGCATTTGCAGTTGTCGACAAGGAGTTCTCTCTGTGATACACTTTCACATTAATAAGCTAGGTATGTATCGATTTGTTGGGCAATGTTGCATGTACGAAGAAATATCGATGCTTTGATTAAATTTTCAACTTGTAATAATGGATCTGCATGGAGCCCCATGCTGAATTTTTAATAAACAAAGTTGGAATTTCGTCTGGACCCTTTCTAATCTTAATTTTTTATTCATATCTGACATACAAGTTTGCACGAAGTTCCTGTAAAGGTTTGGAGATAATGGAGAGATGAATAATTAATCATGAAGTGTATGTAAAGGTATTTAAAAAAATAATCTATTTCAAAAGTATATCAACTCCAAGATTTTTACAACTCAACACTGTGAATTGCACTGCTATACGTAGATAGTGAAGATATAAGATATTGATATACACTGTAACAATATTTTACTCTTGTCACAAAAACAATACAAAAATAAATAGTAGTCATCAATACTTAAGAGATAATTTCAATATAAACCACTAGTTCCTACAAAAGATGTAAAAATAAAAAATAAAAGAAATTATTTTTTTTTGTGGGATTGGACCACTGATGAAAGTTTTGGACGAAAACAAGAATGTCGCAAAAAAGAATTTTAACAAAAAGTTTTTCTAAAACGAGATTTCTCTTAAAAAATTGTTTTAGTTGTATATTTTAATAGCTTATACAGGGGGTGCGCCAGAACTCGCGCCAAAATAAGGTAAGATACCAGGAAGATTGAAAAAAAATGTATCTATAAAAATTTCGAAGTTATGAGAGTTTATATTTTGCAATTTGACTCTATTTATTTCTGTTAGAAAAACAATTTTCCAAGTTTTTTTGCTACAATCCATTAGTAGAAGAAACAAGGAAGCTGTAGTCTAAATTGTAACTCTGTTTAGTGTTATTTGTGGCTTTTATTGACAAAATTTTTGTACCTTTACTAAACAAATATAAAAAAAAAACAGTATCATTAAACGCCACTTTAGACATGAGTTTTATTAGACACGAGCGAAGCGCAGCGGAGCGATATAGCCCAGCTATAAATTTTTTTATCAAATTTTATAGGTGTGCAATGACTATAAAAATTCTATTCAAAAAAAATTGAATATTAATTAATTATTTATAGGTATTTACGAATAAACATAGTAACAATTTTTTTTTAGTGGAAACCTACCACACTTTTTTTTAGACAACGAACTTGTTACAAGAATTGTTGCTGTGCAATTGTTTGTTAAAAAAATGTTTCGACTTACAAGAATTAAAGATTTTTTTTGAGTAAACTATAGGTTTTTTTTTGGAAATAAATTAATAAATGTTTAAGATTGTAAAGGAGTGATGCCAAAATATTTTTTATTTTAATTAATTGTTTAAACTTTTGAGATTACCATACTAATAATTTTTTTCTTAAATAAAAACGCTTTTTTATTTATTGTTTTACAAAGGTATGTTTATGCATTTTATAAATGTACAAAAATATTTATTGAAAATGTTACAGTTTATGTTATAAACTTTATCTGTTGTCAAAACTTTCTTCTGAATAGCATTTTTATAGCCATTGCACACCTATAAATTATTTGCCAAAAAATGATAGTTTCGCCTGAATAAAATCGTTTCCAGTCTTCTGAACCACCCCGTACAACGTGTTTCAAAAATCGCGAGACCCATACTAAATAGTAAAAGCAATTACCAAGCAAAGTATAGGCAACATAGCAAATATTAAAAAAACCTGTTTACGATAATTTTATAATTAGGAGGATTTAAGGATTGCATGTTTGATCTTATTTATTTCCGAAAAGAACTATACAAGCTGTTCCAACTAAAATTTGCACCCCCTAAAATCTCGGATTTCGTCCAAGTTTGAAAAAAAAGCTCAAACAGATCAATTGTAATTTAAAAGGAAATCAAAGTTTCAAAGTTATTTCTGTATCTCTCTAACGCCCAGAACTCCTTCAAAAAATTTAAGTCATTTTGAAATTGCTTTCCACTGTCGCACCATGTTTTTTTTTAATCTTAAACGATATTTTTTTTGAGATTACTGTGTGAGGAAACAAGGGAATATACCTGCTGCTCAAAATATCCTCAAAAAAGTGTGACACAAATTGATCTATGAGCATTTTTTTCCAAACTTAAGACGCAAATTTTAGTTGGGACACCCTGTATTTGAATTCTTACAATAGTACTAGCTTTTACTTCTTCTTTAACAAACGTATTATTAATGTATACAATTTTTTTATTAA